GGTGGCCCATCGGCACTTGTTGTTCTCCTGAACACACATCGCCATTATCCGAAGCTTATCTACACGGTGGTTCGTTGCATTCGAGCAATCTCAGTATGCCCACAGAACAAAACTGCTCTTATTTCTCTTGGTAAGATTTAGAAGATTTTCGTTATTGACTATTTGGTCAGAATAAATCCGATTTGACCAACATTCATATGTCCTGTCCAGTTTTACAGAGCATGAAGAAGGGAAGGAAGAAATTTAGCGGATTTGTCTTATAAAAGCCAAATAATTTTAGCTTAATCAGCCGTAGGAAGTCTGCAGCTATTTACCAGATTTTATTAATTTATTCCTGCTGAAATATTTTAACTCAAAAGTGTGATTTTCTTTTTAAGAGCTGATTTCGTCAATTTTTTAGTTTTTATAATTTTTTTATTTTTTGATTTTTGCCTGTCTGATGCGCAATCTTGATTTCATTCTATGCAGCAGACAACTCTTCTGTCGAGTATGATCTTGTGCCTTCTGCATTTACATCATTCTGTACATTTGAGTTGTTGGATTAGGCTAGCCTTCCGGTTACTTCATACCGTTCCTTTAAAATCATGGGTACCTTTTTCTCTCATATTTTTTTGGTGTTGAAGAATTTAGCCCAGCCTGAAATTTTGAAATTTCTGTATTGTATGCATAGGAAAATTGTATTGTTTTACGGTCAAGGACTGTATAAGACAGGGTGGGGAGAGGATGAGAGCGAGGAAAAGAGTTAGAGGTGAAGGACAATAGTTTATTGAAACATTTTTTTATTAAAATCCGCTTCAGGAGCACTAAATGTTTTGGGCGATTTCATCCACAACGTCGACGATCGGACGCAGTTTGCGGTGCTTTGTGCGGTGCGAAATCTATCGGATGCGGCAACAAATGAGGACAGTTTAGGGCCACTGATAATCAGTCTGATAGAGGTTGTTGCGGCTGGCGAGGAGTCAACAACGGCATGTGCGGCGGGTGTCCTCTCAAACCTCACTTGCAACAATATTCGCAACAAGCAGACTCTCTGCACCAACAGGTTGGTTCATTCATCTTGTATATGTGCTTTATGCTACAAGACGGTGCGAAATTTCCTGTGCAAGAAAAAAAAAGTGCAAAAAATGAGCTAAGCGACCCAAAATTTGATTAGAGAAGCAAAAATTTTGCCAAAACAGCACAAACGCTGTATAAGAGGGCAGAAGTTTCGTGAAAAAGCATGAGATTTAGCAAAGTGGGCAGTTGCATTTAGCAGCGAAAATAAATTTTAAACTTGGAAAAAAATATCGTAACTGGGTAGAGAACTTGTAATAATAGGTAAGTACGCCATCTAGCACGAGAAACATCAATTGTGGAAGAAGCTGTTTCTGCTATGAAATCTGGTTTTCTGGAATGCAGTGTTTGCTTGTGTGTGTGCGGGGTGTATGCGCGATGTGTGTGTGTGGATGTATGGGTATGTGCATGCGGTGTGTGCGATATGTGTGTACGCGGTGTGAGTGTATGGTGAATTAGAGTTCAGCTGCGAATTGCTTTGAGAAATAAAA